TGTTTTATAGAACATAACTCATGATAATAATCAATAAGTAAATCATGTCTGGTTCTGTTTGAAACAGCTGAGATGAAACACATCATGGTGGAGAAAGAGAAACTGATCATGAAATCATTGAACACACTTTACTGATGGGATGTGTGATCAAAGGAAATGTTTGGATCATTAATAAAGGTTTGTCTTTCAAAAACAAAAACAGGATGTTCTTCTTGTGTTATGTCCAAGGTGCTACGAAGCTGATGGAGAACATGTGGAAGTGATCTGAGACTAAATGAAGCTCAGCGCGAGTTCAACCAGGAAGGCCGTCTTTACTCTTCATTCACTATCTCCATGTCTCTCCTCTCTCTAGTCAGGGTTGGGAGGTTACTTTGTAAATGTAATCAGTTACTGAATACATGCTCTGAAAGTAGGGCTGGGCGATTTTTTCGGTTTTCACGATTAATTGCATTTTTACTTTCCTACGGTTTGTGAAATGGCTAAACCGAAAAACCGCGATTTTTTTTTTTTGGATCTGTAGTCAAAAAGCTCCTCAAAAACACTATCGAAGCAGTTCCTGCCGTTGCTACGTTAGTTCAAACAGTAACAACGCACTATTTTTCTTAGCGGATGCATGTCAATTTAAATCAATACAAAACTATTTTTTAAATCAATAAAATCATTTTCTAAATCCATAAAAGCATTTCAATTAATATTGGGAGTCATGTCGTTACTTTGCTGAGAATTTGGCCATGTAATAAGCGGGATAATGTGCACATTGCACATTGCATAATGTGCCTTCATGCCGATCCCTCCGCAAAAAAAACGGCTCGTTCGCGGGCGAGAGCCGGCTCCCGTCGTTCACTTAAATAGTTCGCGACCGACACATCACTACGACAGACGTAGCATAAAAATGTCCACGAACACAGATGAAGAAGAACTCATTCCTAAAAAAGGTACCACTTCAGTAAGTTCAGTTGTATGGAAGTGGTTCGGGTACAAGCAGTCAGACATAGAACAAACAACTGTTCTGTGTAAGGTCTGTAGAAAGACGATCGCTGCAAAACATGGGAACTCAACCAACTTATTCCAGCACCTGCGACAGAGACATGCAGTGGTGGAAGCTACATGAAGCTAACTTCCCAAGACTGAGTTATCTGGCCAAGAAATATCTCTCCATTCCTGCCACAAGTGCCCCTTCGGAGAGGGTTTTCAGTACGGGGGTAATATTGTAACATGCCAAAGAGCATGCCTCAAGCCAGAGGCAGTAGACAGGCTTGTCTTCCTCGTGAAAAACCTGTAGAAAACTTCCTAGAAAGTTAAAGGGATGTTATTTTGTTTGAGGGTATTTTTTTATTATTCATTTCATTATCATTATTTGTTGTATTTGTATCATTCAACATGATGATATTTTTAAATGATGAAACCAGTCTGAAGTGATTTTTTTGTTTGATGCCAACAGCAAGACTAACCTGGAATTCATGCATTGCAATTATTCTAATGGTTAACTTCCTGCAAGCTATAACAAACCCCAATATTACCTTTCCTGAAATCAACATCCTGTAACCTGATTTATTTTGGACATGTTTTTCTATTTCACTATTATATTAAAAACATATAACAATATATATTTTATTTTTTAAAATGTTTAACTGATGACCTATAGCCTTTATATTTTGTATTGGAACATAACAAAAACATATTTCATAAAACAGTTTTACATTTTCAAAGATATATGAGGCTTTATACTTTCTTTAATTTTCTTTGAGATATGATTTGTTGAAATGATTGACAAAAGTGTATAATGTATATTTTTCTCACATAACTAAATATGCAACCCAAATTATTCTGGACAGTGATATTTAATAGGTTTTCTTTCCATACAGGTGCATTTGGAAATAATAGAAATGTTGAAATTGAAATGAAACCAGATGCAGTCAACATTTCTAACATCAGATTCAGTATTGGCATTTTTTTCATCCGTGAACCTTTGTTGGAAATGTGGATGATCCCAAAATAAAATGTCAAGTCCTCGCATCTTCACTCCAACCATCTGTTTTCTTCTTCTTTTTACTCGCCATACTTAACTCACCACATCCAGGAGGATCCATATCATTTCAGAAAAAAATCGAGGTTTAAATAGAAAATCGTCCATTAGTTAGAAAAAATCGAGGTTTTATTTTTAGGCCAAATCGCCCAGCCCTATCTGAAAGTCATCAGAATACAGTTACGTGTCTTAAAAAAGTATCAGATTACTTTTGGAATACTTTCTTTTCCCATAACAGATGGGTATGTTTTGGTGAACAGGAGACACGTATGTTACTGTTTTAATGGCTTATCAAGAACTCAAACACGACATCTTGGTGTCATTCTGGACAGCTCCCTCTCATCTGCACCCCACATCAAACACATCACCCGGACTGCATTCTTTGTACTGTCTTAAAACCTTTCCTTAGAATATGTTATGAATTGTAAGGTGTCCTTGGTGCTTCTAAAGGCGCCCCTAAATAGAATGAATTATCATTATTATTTATTATCTGAAACGATGTTATAACTTTTAAAACTGTTTCCAGTCACTTGCCCCATGCATTCAGCAGCAGCAGGCCATTCACTTTGATTCCGTTATAAATGTCATCATTTCGACAATAAAGAAATGCTACATAAACGTTATCTTGCACATTTTATCTAACCATCTCCGTTTCTAACTTTCAATATATTTTAAAAGAGATCTCTCTCATCTGCGTGTGGGGGCGGGGCCTCACAGACACGCTGCATCTCTCTCTCGCTCACAGACATGCTGCAGCGCTGTGCAGTGTGCACACAGCTCTGCCGGTAATGAATATTACATTTTGTGAGGAAACTTTTCCACCAATAATTCCAATAAGTATTCCAAAATGTATTCACTTCAGGTTTAAGAAAGTAACTGTAATCAGATTACTCGTTTTTCAAATGTAACGCCAGCCACATGTATTCCGTTACAACCCAACCCTGTCAATAAGTGATCGGACGCGTCACTCCCCAGTTTAACCAATCACTTCGCTCTGTTCTCACAAGCCTATCATCTGTGGATTCTCAGCTTTAATCTGATACCTTGTTTGTGCAGCTACGATAAGTAATCAGGGTATTTTTTAGTGATGGGAATTCCGGCTCTTCTTGGTGAGCCGGATCATTTGGCTCGGCTCACCAAGAAGAGCCGGCTCTTTCGGCTCCCAAACGGCTCTTCAGTTTACCACTTATTATACCTTTTAATTAAATCAAATGTAGCCCTGTTTTGACTAATGATTTATATGTGTACATACACACATACATACATATATATCACTTAAATTATTCAATACATCCTTTGTACTGAGGTATTCAAAAGTGAAAATTACATGTTTAATATAAATGATTTGCTGTGGCCAAATGTTTTCATTGCATTTACAGACCCGTGTAACTCTCTGATACCACCCAATGAATGCACTGACTTGCTTGTCGAACCACGCTACACAAAACAGATAGCAACACCTATAAAAACTATTTAAAAAAAGGGGCTACTGTATCGACATTTTAAAATTATATTTAAAGAAAAGACCCTGACGAAACAGCAGGGCTATATTTCAGTAACTATTAACTATAGAAAAAAAGACAGCAACAGCTGACATCAAATCTTTGCTGAGCCTAAGGATAATCATAAATAAATAACATAGTGAAAATAAATATATTGCAATGCTCAAAACAGCAGAATCCAACCGTCTCTAATCCTTGGATATTACATGTCACCTGCATGCATGCACGGAGCAGCTGTAGCGCGGAGATCATCATCATCATTCTGTCTTGTATTACTTAAAGTGGACCTATCAGTTTGAACAATATATTGTAGGCCATATCTATATAAAGTATATATATGATTCTGTGAGCTGCAGCTGACCACGCCCCCCTGCAGGAGAGGGCAGCGTGCTCTGAGATCAGCTGCTGGGCTGTCAGAAGAGGGGGAGAATCTCCGTCCTCCGTGTTTTATTCTTATAGAAGTAAGAAGAGAAGTAATGGGGCAGAAACCCTCCTTTTTACGCAGCGGTCCAGACATAGACATCAAACGGCGACACATATTCAGTTGCCAGTTACTTTGGCATTAGGGCAGGGATATCTAGATACTTCCCAAGGTTTGACATAATGAATTGTGCTACTTTTAAAGCAAGCAATGATGTTTTCAAATCTGTAATCAAAAAGCTCCTCAAAAACACTCTCGAAGCAGTTCCTGCCGTTGCTACGTTAGTTCAAACAGTAACAACGGACTACTTTTCTTAGCGGATGCATGTCAATTTAAATACATACAACTCAATAAATCAATAAAATAATTTTCTAAATCCATAAAAGCATTTCAATTAATATTGGGAGTCATGTCGTTACTTTGTTGAGAATGTGGCCGTGTAATAAGCGGGATAATGTGCACATTGCATAATGTGCCTTCATGCCGATCTAGATCCCTCCGCAAAAAAAAAAAAATGGCTCGTTCGCAGGCGAGAGCCGGCTCCCGTCGTTCACTTAAAAGAGCCGGCTCGTTCGCGACCGACACATCACTAGTATTTTTACCTTGAGTTCTGTGCTAAGTGCGTTAGCATGTTTTCGCTCAGGGCCCATTTAGACGCTTCTTGTGAGACTTGTGTTTTGTTTCGGTAAACATGGTTCGTATCTTCAGTTAGCTGAGTTTCTAACCGTTTAAGTGAGTATGACACATTAATAGGTTTTTAAATATTAAGAAGCCCTGTGACACAGTTTCGTGAAAAAACACCCCGCAACTTCCTTACAATAAATGAGCACTGATTAGAGGGTTATTGAGGAAAAACTCTCAACTAACGGCCTAGTACTTGTAGAATATGGTCGTGTAGAATAAGGCATTAATAAGTGTTTAATACTGACTAATAACGAGCCAATATACTGCTAATATGCATGTTAATCAACAACTAGTTGATGGTGAATATGTGTACCTTGATATAAAGTGTTACCCAGTGTTTATATAGAGATGTGAGCATGAGTCGTACCTCTCCTCCTCCTCGCTGTCCTGCAGCTGCTGCGCGATCTGCCTCATCTGCTCCTTGCGGACGTAGTCTCTGACTCGGTACATGGCGGCGTCTCTGCAGAGCTCCCGCAGGTCGCTGCCCGAGTATCCCTCCGTCCGCTCTGCGATCTCCTTCAGATTGATGGCATTGCTCAGCTGCGGAGAAACAGAGTATTATAGATTAATTACAATCAGGTTTATATCAGCAGATGTGGGAAGTAGTGGAGTACAAATACTTTGTCACTGTACTTAAGTACATGTTTCTGGTATCAGTACGACTTTTTACTTTTACTTCTTACATGTTGAACCCAAATACCTGTACTTTCTACTTCTTACATGTTGAACCCAAATACCTGTACTTTCTACTTCTTACATGTTGAACTCAAATACCTGTACTTTCTACTTCTTACATGTTGAACTCAAATACCTGTACTTTCTACTTCTTACATGTTGAACTCAAATACCTGTACTTTCTACTTCTTACATGTTGAACTCAAATACCTGTACTTTCTACTTCTTACATGTTGAACACAAATACCTGTACTTTCTACTTCTCACATGTTGAACACAAATACCTGTACTTTCTACTTCTCACATGTTGAACTCAAATACCTGTACTTTCTACTTCTTACATGTTGAACACAAATACCTGTACTTTCTACTTCTCACATGTTGAACACAAATACCTGTACTTTCTACTTCTTACATGTTGAACATAAATACCTGTACTTTCTACTTCTTACATGTTGAACTCAAATACCTGTACTTTCTACTTCTTACATGTTGAACCCAAATACCTGTACTTTCTACTTCTTACATGTTGAACACAAATACCTGTACTTTCTACTTCTTACATGTTGAACACAAATACCTGTACTTTCTACTTCTTACATGTTGAACACAAATACCTGTACTTTCTACTTCTTACATGTTGAACACAAATACCTGTACTTTCTACTTCTTACATGTTGAACTCAAATACCTGTACTTTCTACTTCTTACATGTTGAACACAAATACCTGAACTTTCTACTTCTTACATGTTGAACTCAAATACCTGTACTTTCTACTTCTCACATGTTGAACTCAAATACCTGTACTTTCTACTTCTTACATGTTGAACACAAATACCTGAACTTTCTACTTCTTACATGTTGAACTCAAATACCTGTACTTTCTACTTCTCACATGTTGAACACAAATACCTGAACTTTCTACTTCTTACATGTTGAACTCAAATACCTGTACTTTCTACTTCTCACATGTTGAACACAAATACCTGAACTTTCTACTTCTTACATGTTGAACACAAATACCTGAACTTTCTACTTCTTACATGTTGAACTCAAATACCTGTACTTTCTACTTCTCACATGTTGAACTCAAATACCTGTACTTTCTACTTCTTACATGTTGAACACAAATACCTGTACTTTCTACTTCTTACATGTTGAACTCAAATACCTGTACTTTCTACTTCTTACATGTTGAACACAAATACCTGTACTTTCTACTTCTCACATGTTGAACACAAATACCTGTACTTTCTACTTCTTACATGTTGAACTCAAATACCTGTACTTTCTACTTCTTACATGTTGAACACAAATACCTGTACTTTCTACTTCTCACATGTTGAACTCAAATACCTGTACTTTCTACTTCTTACATGTTGAACACAAATACCTGAACTTTCTACTTCTCACATGTTGAACACAAATACCTGTACTTTCTACTTCTCACATGTTGAACTCAAATACCTGTACTTTCTACTTCTTACATGTAGAACCCAAATACCTGAACTTTCTACTTCTTACATGTTGAACCCAAATACCTGTACTTTCTACTTCTTACATGTTGAACACAAATACCTGTACTTTCTACTTCTCACATGTTGAACACAAATACCTGTACTTTCTACTTCTTACATGTTGAACTCAAATACCTGTACTTTCTACTTCTTACATGTTGAACACAAATACCTGTACTTTCTACTTCTTACATGTTGAACTCAAATACCTGTACTTTCTACTTCTCACATGTTGAACTCAAATACCTGTACTTTCTACTTCTCACATGTTGAACACAACCTGTACTTTCTACTTCTCACATGTTGAACTCAAATACCTGTACTTTCTACTTCTCACATGTTGAACACAACCTGTACTTTCTACTTCTTACATGTTGAACTCAAATACCTGTACTTTCTACTTCTCACATGTTGAACTCAAATACCTGTACTTTCTACTTCTTACATGTTGAACTCAAATACCTGTACTTTCTACTTCTTACATGTTGAACTCAAATACCTGTACTTTCTACTTCTTACATGTTGAACTCAAATACCTGTACTTTCTACTTCTTACATGTTGAACTCAAATACCTGTACTTTCTACTTCTCACATGTTGAACCCAAATACCTGTACTTTCTACTTCTTACATGTTGAACTCAAATACCTGTACTTTCTACTTCTTACATGTTGAACTCAAATACCTGTACTTTCTACTTCTTACATGTTGAACTCAAATACCTGTACTTTCTACTTCTTACATGTTGAACTCAAATACCTGTACTTTCTACTTCTTACATGTTGAACTCAAATACCTGTACTTTCTACTTCTCACATGTTGAACCCAAATACCTGTACTTTCTACTTCTCACATGTTGAACCCAAATACCTGTACTTTCTACTTCTTACATGTTGAACTCAAATACCTGTACTTTCTACTTCTCACATGTTGAACCCAATACCTGTACTTTCTACTTCTCACATGTTGAACCCAAATACCTGTACTTTCTACTTCTTACATGTTGAACTCAAATACCTGTACTTTCTACTTCTTACATGTTGAACTCAAATACCTGTACTTTCTACTTCTCACATGTTGAACCCAAATACCTGTACTTTCTACTTCTTACATGTTGAACTCAAATACCTGTACTTTCTACTTCTCACATGTTGAACCCAAATACCTGTACTTTCTACTTCTTACATGTTGAATTCAAATACCTGTACTTTCTACTTCTTACATGTTGAACACAAATACCTGTACTTTCTACTTCTTACATGTTGAACACAAATACCTGTACTTTCTACTTCTTACATGTTGAACCCAAATACCTGTACTTTCTACTTCTTACATGTTGAACTCAAATACCTGTACTTCTACTTCTTACATGTTGAACTCAAATACCTGTACTTTCTACTTCTTACATGTTGAACTCAAATACCTGTACTTTCTACTTCTTACATGTTGAACTCAATACCTGTACTTTCTACTTCTCTCATTTTCCAAACAGCTGGTTCCTTTAGTCTGAATGTGTGTTTGATGCGTGATCATTATTCTTTAGAGTCATTGCGTGCCTATTGATTTGAACACGATCCGTGTATCCATCATTTCCTGGTCTTCTCTAAAGAAGAGGGACCAATGGAAACGTTGTCATGTTGCCGTTGTTCAGCATGGAAACATTCATTAGCTAACAATGACATTATTGTTCTATTGATATAAAGGGAGGTCAGGTACTCTTTAAAACAGCTGCTAGTTATGGGTACTTTTTACTGAAGTACACTTCAAAGCCTCTTTACTTTGACTTGAGTAAAGAAGTTTAGTCAGTACTTCTACTTTCACCAGAGTATTTTTAAACACGAGTATCTGTACATCTACTTGAGTAAAGGACGTGTGTACTTTTGCCCTCTCTGATCACCAGGTAGGTTGACACGTACGAGGAATTTGACTTGGTGTCGTGGTGCATACATAAAAGTAAAACAAAAATTAAAAACACAGAGAACTATTTTAAGAAAACTATAATAACATTAAAAAATATAGTAAAATATAGCAGTCATCTCCTTCAGATGAATGCCATTGCTCAGCTGCATAGAACAGTGTGTGTGTGTGTGTGTGTATGTGTGTGTGTGTGTGTGTGTGTGTGTGTGTGTGTGTGTGTGTGTGTGTGAGAGAAACAGTGCATTATAGATTTAGCCTCTTAGAGGTCTTCTTTAATGTGATCCGACAGTGAAATATAATTTAGTTTATAGTGTCGTGGACAGTCCCCATTAATCAACTGTCACACAGAACAGTAAATGGACCCGGCCAGATGATAATGGACACCTTTTTAAAATCACAGCATCAACAGCATTAGTTATAAAGAAAGGACGAAAGAGAATAATACAATGCAAACAGCACACGTCACGTATAGCACCTCACAATAGAAACGAGGGGCAACATCCATGATCACAACATGTAACACACACACCATATCCAACACAGACGAGTGTGTGTAGTGTTTTGATGTATGCATGTCTTTGAGGTGTCGAGGATCAAAAGACATCTTACGTTTTCTCCCGCTAAAATCAGCCTCAGGATGTCTTGCCTTTGTCTCGTGCTCTGCAGAGACAGAAGGATAGCGGTTCTTTAAAGCATATTCATGTGGATGAGAAACAGAGAGTACCTAACAATCAGCGACTAATGACACGTTTATGGACTCTCTCTTCATCAGACACCGTCTAAGTGCCACTTTACCTGCCTAATGGCTGTAATGTTCTCATTTACTGTTTGCTCCTGCACCAGCAGCACATATGTATTTATATCTGACACTATAAAGGAGCTTTTTAATGTCCCGGATTAAAGATTTACTCTGTGCTTTTTGTAGTTTCACCAGCAGCCATAACACACACTTTACTGTGTGTGGATTAAAGCCCTCCTTTAAAACGCACCATCGCTCAATAGATTATAATGAGACAAGAAGTGGATTAAATTAAAGTTACATATCTCTCATTAGATTTCATTTAAGTATATCCCCCTCGCACTTGTATTGTCATTACACAGTATAGCTACTATGTAACTAAATGGTTTCTCTGCATTTGACCCATCCTAGTGTCAGGAGCAGTGGGCTAGGGAAGGGTGCCTTGCTCAGGGACACCTCGGTAGCACTTGGTCTTGCCGGGACTTGAACTGGTGACCTTCCAGTTGCCAAGTCCCTATGGACTTCACCACCACCGCCCACATACACACATTTGTAGAAGTACACACGTTAAGGATATAGAACAGGGGCAGTAAACATGAACATGTTACATACTGTATGAAGGAATGGGTTTAGATAACATATCATTTGGAGATTTGATTTGATAAGATTTAAAGAAACATTTGTATGATAACATTGTGTTGGCTTATACAGAGTCATTGTAATATGTGTGTTTATTATATGTTATCTATTTTAAACCAATGTTAGGACAGATGTAACGAGTGTTTTACGCGCATTAAGTCATTATATTAGACTAGTTTTAGGCTACTTGGTTAGGTGTTTTGAAGCTTGTAAAAGTCTCTGTATACAGAAACTCTCTAGTGTTGGTAAGATATATTTTAAATATTTCCTCTCTCAAGCTTCAGATAGTTTTTCCACTTGAGATATTTCACTTGTACTTGTAATTGAATTTACTTGAAGACACGGGTTATCGAATTACTAGAACGTTTAGGTGATTTTTTGGGGTGACAAGACGAGACCGTCTCAAAGAAAACTAAAGCGCCAGTAGCTGCTCTGTATGCTCCTTGGATCCTCACATCAAAACTATTAAAAAGGCACTCATGTCTAAACACTGCTGGAAACAAAGGGACAGGGCAGCTGCTGAGTCCCGTGCATTACCCAGTGGAGGAGTTCTGTATACCGGTCAATGATTGGCTTAATCCACTACAAAAACTTAAAATCTTGCCCAGTATATGTGTTTAATATCTAGTCATATATGTCTCTACACTTGATATAAGACACAATAACTTCAGAAGTAACACTGCAGTGAGATATCGGGTCTTGTTTTTAGACAATTCATCATCTTGTTGAGTCAAAACCTCTTATTTTGAGTCGTATCTCAGATGAAACACATATTTTTTAACTAACATCAGAAAACAGAACACTTTGGAGCATTTGCGGCTTATAACACAACATTTCCTGATTCTGGTCAAATATAGTTCAAAATGAGTTCTCCAGCTAATTACAAGATGTGATTTATCTAAATATCCCTTCTTATTTCAAGACATCTAACCAAGCTAATGTTCACTTGTTCTATTGGCAGATTTTTCTACTTATTTCAAGTGAAAACACAAAGTTTTCCTTATTGTTTCACTTGTTTTTGGAGCAGCCTTTTCTCCAGTGTCTCTTACTGGTTTAAACCCTGTATTACTTAAATTAGATGTCAATGGTTTGTGCTGGTGAAAGTGTTTTGTGTCTTACTGGCAGGCCAACATAAAACGTGGCGGGCATCCTGCGCAGAATGGCTGGATCTACATCCTGCGGTCTGTTAGAGGCTCCCATCACCATCACCTACAATCAGAAGAATCAACAGGCAAGATTATTTAAAAAGGACAATTTAACAACAAGGCAACTCAAAGTGCTTTACAAGAAACATTAGACGATTGCATTTCAAAACGGTCACTAAAAGCCAAGATAATACTTTAAAAAACAAGTGGAAATTGGGTAACACAGGTACAGAAATATAATAATAGGTAGAGTGCAGTGAAAGATATGACAAGTTTTTAGATTTGATAACAGGCAGAGGCAAAAAGAAAAGTCTTAAGCCTGGATTTTAATGTATTAAAGGGGACCTATCATGCAAAATGCACTTTTTGATGTCTTTTATTCATAAAGATGTGTCCCCGGTGCGTCAGGGAACTCACGCAGCGTCAGAAAATAAAACCCTCTCTCTTTTCCTCCGTACCCAAATCTCTAAAAATGAGGGAACAACGGAGCTGATCCAGATTTGCGTCCGATATGACGTAATATCTGAAATGTGGACCCACGGGCCAATCAGAAAGTTGCTATCAGAAACAATGCCCGACTGTTTTGGACGTAATATGGTCGATGTTTACATTAGCATCGCTAACACTCAGAGCTAACCTGTACTGGAGAGCATGTGTGTGAAGAAGCAGGAAGTAAAAAGGAACTCAACTTGTGGTATAACCGGCAAGAGAGAAAGCCTTTGAGCTCCAAACTGTTTCAGAGAGAATCCTTGATAATCCATGATACTACCAGCTGCTACTGGTAGTGCCTAAAACCAGGCTAAAAACCAGAGGGCACCGAGCCTTCGCGGCGGCTGGCCCTAGGCTCTGGAACACTCTGCCCCTCCATGTGAGGTCGGGCCCAGACCCTAGGGGTTTTTTAAATCTAAACTAAAAACTCACTTCTTCACCCTGGCCTTCTAATCAGAGCAGAGCACGACTCATGACACTTCCCTGTGTTTTGATTTTTATATTTGATGTTGTAATTTATTGTCTTCTGTTTACATCGGTAGGAATGTGTTATTTATTATCTGCATGTGCAGCACTTTGGCTCGACCGAAAATCGTTTTTAAATGTGCTATAGAAATAAAATTTGATTTGATGATATGGCGTTTCATCACGGCAGCATTTAGTTTAGACAGTAGCTGCCGGGTCCCGCATGAGCTCAGACCCCTCCTTCTTTATTTTAAAGCTTTATACTCAAGTCAGCCCTTTTGAAACAGGAAGTGGAATAGAGGGATATGAGGCGTGGCTAGAATGGGTGATCTGTTTGGTATTTTGAGCAAAACACTTCATAGACGTGTTTTTCATATATTTTTATATATCTGAGACCTATGCTATTGTCTAAAAATAGCATGATAGGTGACCGTATGAGTTTTAGCAGACCTGCAGTTTTCTGGTAGTTTATTCCACATATATGAAGCCTAACAACTGAACGATGCTTCTGTGATTAAAACCAAACCTAGTATTGTCTTCAAACATAAAGACCTGCATACATGTTTATGTAAAAGAGACATGAAGAAGAGGGGACACATGTTGATGTAGAAGAGACATGAAGAAGAGGGGACACATGTTGATGGTAAGCAGAACATGAAGAAGCGGGGGCACAATGTTGCTGTCGGAGAGACCTGAGAAGAGGGGACATGATGGAGAGAGGACATGATGAAGAGGGGACACATGTTGATGAAGAGGGGACATGATGAAGAGGGGACACCATGTTGATGTAGAAGAGACATGAGAAGAGGGGACACATGTTGATGTAGAAGAGACCTGAAGAAGAGGGGACACATGTTGATGTAGAAGAGACATGAAGAAGAGGGGACACATGTTGATGTAGAAGAGACATGAAGAAGAGGGGACACATGTTGATGTAGAAGAGACATGAAGAAGAGGGGACACATGTTGATGCAGAAGAGACATGAAGAAGAGGGGACACATGTTGATGTAGAAGAGACATGAAGAAGAGGGGACACATGTTGATGTAGAAGAGACATATGTTGATGTAGAAGAGACATGAAGAAGAGGGGACACATGTTGATGTAGAAGAGACATGAAGAAGAGGGGACACATGTTGATGTAGAAGAGACATGAAGAAGAGGGGACACATGTTGATGTAGAAGAGACATGAAGAAGAGGGACACATGTTGATGTAGAAGAACATGAAGAAGAGGGGACACATGTTGATGTAGAAGAGACATGGAGAAGAGGGACACATGTTGATGTAGAAGAGACATGAAGAAGAGGGGACACATGTTGATGTAGAAGAGACATGAAGAAGAGGGGACACATGTTGATGTAGAAGAGACATGAAGAAGAGGGGACACATGTTGATGTAGAAGAGACATGAAGAAGAGGGGACACATGTTGATGTAGAAGAGACATGAAGAAGAGGGGACACACGTTGATGTAGAAGAGACATGAAGAAGAGGGACACACGTTGATGTAGAAGAGACATGAAGAAGAGGGACACATGTTGATGTAGAAGAGACATGAAGAAGAGGGGACACATGTTGATGTAGAAGAGATATGAAGAAGAGGGACACATGTGATGTAGAAGAGACATGAAGAAGAGGGGACACATGTTGTGTAGAAGAGACATGAAGAAGAGGGGACACATGTTGATGAAGAAGAGACATGAAGAAGAGGGACACATGTTGATGTAGAAGAGACATGAAGAAGAGGGGACACATGTTGATGTAGAAGAGACATGAAGAAGAGGGGACACATGTTGATGAAGAAGAGACATGAAGAAGAGGGGACACATGTTGATGTAGAAGAGACATGAAGAAGAGGGGACACATGTTGATGTAGAAGAGACATGAAGAAGAGGGGACACACGTTGATGTAGAAGAGACATGAAGAAGAGGGGCACATGTTGATGTAGAAGAGACATGAAGAAGAGGGGACACAGTTGATGTAGAAGAGACATGAAGAAGAGGGGACACATTTGATGTAGAAGAGACATGAAGAAGAGGGGACACATGTTGATGTAGAAGAGACATGAAGAAGAGGGGACACATGTTTATGTAGAAGAGACATGAAGAAGAGGGGACACATGTTGAGTAGAAGAGACATGAAGAAGAGGGGACACATGTTGATGTAGAAGAGACATGAAGAAGAGGGGACACTGTTGATGTAGAGAGACATGAAGAAGAGGGGACACATGTTGATGTAGAAAGACATGAAGAAGAGGGGACACATGTTGATGTAGAAGAGACATGAAGAAGAGGGGACACATGTTGATGTAGAAGAGACATGAAGAAGAGGGACACATGTTGATGTAGAAGAGACATGAAGAAGAGGGGACACATGTTGATGTAGAGAGACATGAAGAAGAGGGGACACATGTTGAAGAGAGAATGAAGAAGAGGGGACACATGTTGATGTAGAAGAGACATGAAACAGAGGGGACACATGTTGATGTAGAAGAGACATGAAGAAGAGGGGACACATGTTGATGTAGAAGAGACATGAAAGAGGGGACACATGTTGATGTAGAAGAGACATGAAGAAGAGGGGACACATGTTGATGTAGAAGAGACATGAAGAAGAGGGGACACATGTTGATGTAGAAGAGACATGAAGAAGAGGGGACACATGTTGATGAAGAAGAGACATGAAGAAGAGGGGACACATGTTGATGTAGAAGAGACATGAAGAAGAGGGGACACATGTTGATGTAGAAGAGACATGAGAAGAGGGGACACATGTTGATGTAGAGAGACATGAAGAAGAGGGGACACATGTTGATGTAGAAGAGACATGAAGAAGAGGGGCACATGTTGATGTAGAAGAGACATGAAGAAGAGGGGACACATGTTGATGTAGAAGAGACATGAAGAAGAGGGGACACATGTTGATGTAGAAGAGACATGAAGAAGAGGGGACACATGTTGATGTAGAAGAGACATGAAGAAGAGGGGACACATGTTTGATGTAGAAGAGACATGAAGAGAGGGGACACATGTTGATGTAGAAGAGACATGAAGAAGCGGGGACACATGTTGATCGTAGAAGAGACATGAAGAAGAGGGGACACATGTTGATGTAGAAGAGACATGAAGAAGAGGGGACACATGTTGATGTAGAAGAGACATGGAAGAAGAGGGGGACCAATGTTGATGTAGAAGAGACATGAAGGAAGAGGGGACACATGTTGATGTAGAAGAGACATGAAGAAGAGGGGACACATGTTGATGTAGAATAGACATGAAGAAGAGGGACACATGTTGATGTAGAGAGACATGAAGAGGGGGACACATGTTGATGTAGAAGAGACATGAAGAAGAGGGGACACATGTTGATGTAGAAGAGACATGAAGAAGTAGGGGACACATGTTGATGTAGAAGAGACATGAAGAAGAGGGGACACATGTATGCGTAGAAGAGACATGAGAAGAGGGGACACATGTTGATGTAGAAGAGACATGAAGAAGAGGGGACACATGTTTGATGGAGAAGAGACATGAAGAAGAGGGGACACATGTTGATGGAGAAGAGACATGAAGAAGAGGGGACACATGTTGATGGAGAAAGAGACATGAAGAAGAGGGGACACATGTTGATGTAGAAGAGACATGAAGAAGAGGGACAATGTTGATGTAGAAGAGACATGAAGAAGAGGGGACAACATGTTGATGTAGAAGAGACATGAACGAAGAGGGGACACATGTTGATGTAGAAGAGACATGAAGAAGAGGGGACACATGTTGATGTAGAAGAGACATGAAGAAGAGGGGACACATGTTGATGTAGAAGAGAATGAAGAAGAGGGGACACATGTGATGTAAGAAGAGACATGAGAAGAGGGGACACATGTTGAGTAGAAGAGACATGAAGAAGAGGGGACACATGTTGATGAAGAAGAGACATGAAGAAGAGGGGACACATGCTTGATGTATAGAAGAGACATGAAGAAGAGGGGACACATGTTGATGTAGAAGGACTATGAGAAGAGGGACACTGTTTGAAGAAGCGGGGACACATGTTGATGTAGGAGAGACATGAAGAAGAGGATGGACACATGTTGATGTAGAAGAGACATGAAGAAGATGGGGGACACATGTTGATGTAGAAGAGAACATGAAGAAGAGGGGACACATGTTGATGTAGAAGAGACATGAAGAAGAGGGGACACATGTTGATGAGAGAGACATGAAGAAGAGGGGACACATGTTGATGTAGAAGAGAGACATGAAGAAGAGGGGACACATGTTGATGTAGGAGAGACATGAAGAAGAGGGGACACATGTTGATGTAGAAGAGACATGAAGAAGAGGGGACACATGTTGATGTAGAAGAGACATGAAGAAGGGGAATTTGCATGATAGGTGACCTTTAAGAGATGACAGAAATCCTACCCATTCAGTGCCAGTGTGACTACATCTGGTAGATACATTATAATAAAGACTCCTGGTGGTGCTACCTGCGTGGTGGAGGAAGTGTCCAGGCCGTCCCACAGGCTCATGAACTGGGCCTTCATCATGGCCGTGGCCTCATGGTCCAGGCTGGAGCGGTTCCTCAGAAACGAATCTGACACACAGGAGACGAGGAGGACATTCTTATTGTAAGGGAAACTTCTGTGTAGCAATGCAGTGGGAGTCACCGACTCAGGAAGGAGACACGGTAGGAGCAGGAGCTTTGATGTCAAAACACTGGAGGTTTATTTGGAGTTACGGCCGGAGGATTCACTTCACAAGTCACAGCAGTCACGGTGAGACTGCACGGGAGAGTTGCCACGTCAATTCTGGAGCGCCTCTCTCTTGTTAGCCCATTTACCTGGTTTCACAGAGTAATCAACATATTTTGATAAGATAGCTTTAGACAGTTGGGCACACTGAGTCACCTGCATCCGTCACCCGTGGCCTCGAAGATGTCATACCTTGGAGTCCATAAGCAATAAAGAAGGAAGTGTCCCAGTGCACCCACAACAACAGACCATGACCTAGTGTTGACCGGTCACAGAATGGGAACAATAACATTATGGCTCAAGCAGCCTATGTCCTTAAAGGAGATAAACAGACGTCATATCTAGGAGTCTAGGACAATTATTTCCCTAACACTTATTTTATTCTTATTCTTTCTTAGGATCCTCATTAGCACTAGCTATTCTTCCTGGGGTCCTCACACACACAAAACATACATCAAACTAAACAGCTCATAATTTCATGCAATTTACAGTGCTATATGAAGTGAGAACTAAAATGGTCATCCACAGTTCAATTTTACTTTATAATACTGAGATAATGTTTTAGCAACCTTTTGAAATGTATTTGAAAAATAAAGATGAGACAGCATTTACACATCACAGACTAAGATCAGTAACATCAGGGACATTTCGTGGGGGAACATGAACGAAAGTGTGAAATCCTGCCAAGTATATCCGTCTGATTTCTGGTCAGAATACGTCTTTACACTTGATAATGAATATTGAAGAAGTAACAATGCAGTGAGATGCAGGGTCTTGTTTTTAGACAATGAGTACAATGTAAGTATCTTGTTAACTCTTATTTTGAGTTGGATCTCGGATGAAACAAGTATTTTTTTACATGTCACAACGTTTTCAAGCTGCTGTGTTATTTGTAAAAGATGGATCATCTTGTATCAAGAAATATATTTGTATTAGAAAATCACCAACGAACATCAAACGACGGAAGACTTTTGAGCATTTTCTGGCTTATTTTGTATCATAACATTTCCTGATTAAGTATAGTTCAAAATGAGTTCTCCAAGTTTATTACAAGATCTAATTTATAGAAATATCCCATCTTATTTCAAGAAATCCTACCAAGCTAATTTTCACTAGTTCCGTGTTTTCATTCTGTTTTTGGAGCAGCATTTTTGTCAGTCAGCATTCTGAAAGCATTTATTTTTGAAAAGGAAAAGATAAATCACATCTGACAGTGTGATAAACTAACACCACACGGTCATCAGACTCACCAATCTCATCGATGAAGATGATGCAGGGCTGGATCTTGACAGCCAATGAGAAGACGGCAGCCGTGAGCTTCTGTGATTCGCCGTACCACATGTCCGTCAGCGTGGACGCCTGCAGGTTGATGAACTTACAGCCCGACGCTTTGGCTGTTGCCTTGGCGATCATCGTCTTCCCACATCCTGGAGGACCAAACAATAAAACACCTGCGAGGACAAAAATACAAAATGTATTAGGAAGAGACGGTACATTTGAACCTTGGAGAGATTTAAGAAGTGGTGATATTCCTGCAGACATTACGTCTAAATATTACATCCTGTTTGAGCAAAACGACAGAATGTACATTTTTACACATGATTTAACAGTTTATAGACCTTTTATCTTAAGTGTTTGAATGCACCTAAACTCCTCAAGAATTCAGACGTATTGATTGCAAGGCATTCGCTGATCCATTTCTATAGAGAGCTGTCTGAAAATGAGCTGATCAGATTTTGGCTGCTTTATGATGTCATAACGATGTTTTGGCTTGGTAACCCATTAGCCAATCAGCAACCAAGGTAACCCCCCCCCCCCCCCCCTTATCACCTGAATCTCCTCCTAGAGCACCTTTGAGTTCTTTGTAACCAAATGTCTCTCAGAGGGGCGTGGGGAGGGGCTCCTTGTTTTCATCTAAAGTAACAGACAGAGAATCAGCACTTTGGAAACAGAGGGGATTATGGGTAATGCTGCAATGATCTGTTTGGTGTTTCAGCCAATCAGAGACGGGCTCTGTATATATCTGAGACCTGTGATATATTGATGAAAACCAGTATAATAGGGGACCTTTAAAGTGCGTGATACAGATGGAACTTTTGGCCCTGCTTGCTGCATACTTTATAGAAGTTGCATGATGTAAACAAAGGCTGGAGAATAGTAATAGCACTAGATTCCCATAACAGCTCATTTTGGAAGCCGTTTCATCCTCAACTCTGTTTAAAGCTTTCTGTCAAACAGTAAAAAAGTGTTCGTCTGCTGTCAGGCGGCCAAGAGGATAAATACTGTCGGCTCTTTCTGTGACACATAGCTCAGAGGGTCCCGGCCTTTTTCATGTCAACTATTGAACCCTGACTAAGTGAGATGTGTTATGGATACTTCACGTTATAATCATTGATTTGTTAAACTTGACAAATAACCTAAATAATGAACATAATGAATAATGAACATACTAGCTGCAGGATAAATGTAGAAAATCTGGTATTTTAGAAATACAGTTTTTTTGCACGCATTATGTCGTCTTGCTTATTTTACCTTGAAAATCCTCATGCACGCTTATAAGGCTATTTTTAAAATTCTGTGTTTTCTTCACCTAACCCTCGACCATTGTTCTATTAGCTCTTAGGCTGTTTTAACTGCATACTTTTCTAAATCAGGGCGAGGCGGTTTGGCAGAGTGTCAAATACACATTACAGTTAAAGGTGGGGTAAGTTTGAGGAACCGGCTCGAGATGAACTTGTTGTTATATTCCATGGAATGCTCTTAACATCCCGATAGCAATGAATATCTGAAGTGCTTTGACAACAAATCATCTGTGGAAGCCGTGGCGCTGTAAAAAGCACGACCAATCATCTGAGCCGGTTAAAGTAACTGGATGGCCTACCTGCCTGTCAGCCTTCCATCTGGGCACAAACTTATCTCGTGCCCTCATTGGTCATGTGCGCGTTCGTGTGTGTTGGAGGAGGGGCTCTGTGAGGAAGTGGCAGATTTTTGCCGGCTGTGTATTTTCAAATTCTAGTGATCTCGAGCTGGTTTCTCCAAAATGACCTTACCCCACCTTTAAAATAAATACAATTAAAAATACATGGAAAAGGAGCTGTAATTCCTACACAGTTGACCTAATTGTCCAAATACTTTCTAAGAAGCACTGAGGATTCAATAATGTCATATCAGTGTTTGGTTTCCAATCCATTAGAATATCACTCAAATGTTACGACAAGAAGATTTTCCTATTTTGTCCTTTACTGCAATGTTAAGATAATGGTTAACTTTCTGATTAGACAACATGTGTGTTACCTTTTGGCGGCTGAAAGAGTTTGGATCCCGTTAAAAGGTGTCTCTTCTGGAAGGGCAGGATGACGGTGTCCTGCAGCTCGTTGATCGTCTCGTCCAGACCGGCGATATCCCTCCAGGTCACCTGCAGGGCGGTTCATATGGAGAGAGAGGTCAGATATCATGGCGCTTTAAAGGTCCCCTATTATACTGGTTTTCATCAATATATCACAGGTCTCAGATATATACAGAGCCTGTCTCTGATTGGCTGAAACACCAAACAGGTCATTGCAGCATTACCCATAATCCCCTCTGTTTCAGCCCTGTTTCCAAAGTGCTGATTCTCTGTCTGTTACTTTAGATGAAAATAAGGAGCCCCTCCCCACGCCCCTCTGAGAGACATTTGGTTACAAAGAACTCAATGGTGCTCTAGGAGGAGATTCAGGTGATAAGGGGGGGGGGGGGGGTACCATGGTTGCTGATTGGCTAATGGTTACACAAGACAAAACAACGTTATGACATCATAAAGTGACTAAAATCTGATCAGCTCATTTTCAGACAGGTTTTTAAAGAAATGGATCAAAAAGAGAGAGAATCTTTGTTCCTGAAACTTTCAGAGTCTCTTTCCACAGAGGGGACACATGTTGATGAAGAAGAGACATGAAGAAGAGGGGACACATGGTGATGTAGAAGAGACATGAAGAAGAGGGGACACATGGTGATGTAGAAGAGACATGAAGAAGAGGGGACACATGGTGATGTAAAGAGACATGAAGAAGAGGGGACACATGTTGATGTAGAAGAGACATGAAGAAGAGGGGACACATGTTGATGTAGAAGAGACATGAAGAAGAGGGGGACACATGTTGATGTAGAAGAGACATGAAGAAGAGGGGACACATGGTGATGTAGAAGAGACATGAAGAAGAGGGGACCCATGTTGATGTAGAAGAGACATGAGAAGAGGGGACACATGTTGATGTAGAAGAGACATGAAGAAGAGGGGACACATGTTGATGTAGAAGGACATGAAGAAGAGGGGACACATGTTGATGTAGAAGAGACATGAAGAAGAGGGGACACATGTTGATGTAGAAGAGACATGAAGAAGAGGGGACATGTGATGTAGAAGAGACATGAAGAAGAGGGGACACATGGTTATGAAGAGAGACATGAAGAAGAGGGGACACATGTTGATGTAGAAGAGACATGAAGAAGAGGGGACACATGTTGATGTAGAGAGAACATGAAAGAGGGGACACATGTTGATGTAGAAGAGACATGAAGAAAGGGGGACACATGTTGATGTAGAAGAGACATGAAGAAGAGGGGACACATGTTGATGTAGAAGAGACATGAAGAAGAGGGGACACATGTTGATGTAGAAGAGACAAGAAGAGGGGACACATGTTGATGTAGAAGAGACATGAAGAAGAGGGGACACATGTTGATGTAGAAGAGACATGAAGAAGAGGGGACACATGTTGATGTAGAAGAGACACGAAGAAGAGGGGACACATGTGATGTAGAAGAGACGAAGAAGAGGGGACACATGTTGATGTAAGAGACATGAAGAAGAGGGGACACATGTTGATGTAGAAGAGACATGAGAAGAGGGGACACATGGATTAGAAGAGACATGAGAAGAGGGGACACATGTGATGTAGAAGAGACATGAAGAAGAGGGGACACATGTTGATGTAGAAGACATGAAGAAGAGGGGACACATGGTGATGTAGAAGAGACATGAAGAAGAGGGGACACATGTTGATGTAGAAGAGACATGAAGAAGAGGGGACACATGTTGATGTAGAGAGACATGAAGAAGAGGGGACACATGTTGATGTAGAAGAGACATGAAGAAGAGGGGACACATGTTGATGTAGAAGAGACATGAAGAAGAGGGGACACATGTTGATGTAGAAGAGACACGAAGAAGAGGGGACACATGTTGATGTAGAAGAGACACGAAGAAGAGGGGACACATGTTGATGTAGAAGAGACGAAAAGAGGGGACACATGTTGATGTAGAAGAGACATGAAGAAGAGGGGACACATGTTGATGTAGAAGAGACATGAAGAAGAGGGGACACATGTTGATGTAGAAGAGACATGAAGAAGAGGGGACACATGTTGATGTAGAAGAGACATGAAAGAAGAGGGGACACATGTTGATGTAGAAGAGACATGAAGAAGAGGGGACACATGTTGATGTAGAAGAGACATGAAGAAGAGGGGACACATGTTGATGTAGAAGAGACATGAAGAAGAGGGACACATGTTGATGTAGAAGAGACATGAGAAGAGGGACACATGTTGATGTAGAAGAGAGACATGAAGAAGAGGGGACACATGTTGATGTAGAAGAGACATGGAAGAGGGGGACACATGTTGATGTAGAAGAGACATGAAGAAGAGGGGACACATGTTGATGTAGAAGAGACATGAGAAGAGGGGACACATGTTGGATGTAGAGAGGACATGAAGAAGAGGGGACACATGTTGATGTAAGAGAGACATGAAGAAGAGGGGAACACATGTTGATGTAGAAGAGACATGAAGAAGAGGGGACACATGGTTGATGTAGAAAGAGACATGAAGAAGAGGGGACACATGTTGATGTAGAAGAGACATGAAAGAAGAGGGGACACATGTTGATGTAGAAGAGACATGAAGAAGAGGGGACACATGTTGATGTAGAAGAGACCAGTGAAGAAGAGGGGACACATGTTGATGTAGAAGAGACATGAAGAAGAGGGGACACATGTTGATGTAGAAGAGACATGGAAGAAGAGGGGACACATGTTGATGTAGAAGAGACATGAAGAAGAGGGGACACATGCTTGATGTAGAAGAGACATGAGAAGAGGGGACACATGTTGATGTAGAAGAGACATGAAGAAGAGGGGACACATGTTGATGTAGAAGAGACATGAAGAAGAGGGGACACATGTTGATGTAGAAGAGACATGAAGAAGAGGGGACACATGTGATGTAGAAGAGACATGAAGAAGAGGGACACATGTTGATGTAGAAGAGACATGAAGAAGAGGGGACACATGTTGATGTAGAAGAGACATGAAGAAGAGGGGACACATGTTGATGTAGAAGAGACATGAAGAAGAGGGGACACATGTTGATTGTAGAAGAGACATGAAGAAGAGGGGGACACATGTTGATGTAGAAGAGACATGAAGAAGAGGGGACACATGTTGATGTAGAAGAGACATGAAGAAGAGGGGACACATGTTGATGTAGAAGAGACATGAAGAAGAGGGGGACACATGTTGATGTAGAAGAGACAAGAAGAAGAGGGGACACATGTTGATGTAGAAGAGACATGAAGAAGAGGGACACATGTTGATGTAGAAGAGACATGAAGAAGAGGGGGACACATGTTGATGTAGAAGAGACATGAAGAAGAGGGGACACATGTTGATGTAGAAGAGACATGAAGAAGAGGGGAACACATGTTGATGTAGAAGAGACATGAAGAAGAGGGACACATGTTGATGTAGAAGAGACATGAAGAAGAGGGGACACATGTTGATGTAGAAGAGACATGAAGAAGAGGGGACACATGTTGATGTAGAAGAGACATGAAGAAGAGGGGACACATGTTGATGTAGAAGAGACATGAAGAAGAGGGGACACATGTTGATGTAGAAGAGACATGAAGAAGAGGGGACACATGTTGATGTAGAAGAGACATGAAGAAGAGGGGACACATGTTGATGTAGAAGAGACATGGAAGAAGAGGGGGACACATGTTGATGTAGAAGAGACATGAAGAAGAGGGGACACATGTTGATGTAGAAGAGACATGAAGAAGAGGGGACACATGTTGATGTAGAAGAGACATGAAGAAGAGGGGACACATGTTGATGTAGAAGAGACATGAGAGAAGAGGGGACACATGTTGATGTAGAAGAGACATGAAGAAGAGGGGACACATGCTGATGTAGAAGAGACATGAAGAAGAGGGGACACATGTTGATGTAGAAGAGACATGAAGAAGAGGGGACACATGTTGATGTAGAAGAGACATGAAGAAGAGGGGACACATGTTGATGTAGAAGAGACATGAAGAAGAGGGGACACATGTTGATGTAGAAGAGACATGAAGAAGAGGGGACACATGTTGATGTAGAAGAGACATGAAGAAGAGGGGACACATGTTGATGTAGAAGAGACATTGAAGAAGAGGGGACACATGTTGATGTAGAAGAGACATGAAGAAGAGGGGACACATGTTGATGTAGAAGAGACATGAAGAAGAGGGGACACATGTTGATGTAGAAGAGACATGAAGAAGAGGGGACACATGTTGATGTAGAAGAGACATGAAGAAGAGGGGACACATGTGATGTAGAAGAGACATGAAGAAGAGGGGACACATGTTGATGTAGAAGAGACATGAAGAAGAGGGGACACATGTTGATGTAGAAGAGACATGAAGAAGAGGGGACACATGTTGATGTAGAAGAGACATGAAGAAGAGGGGACACATGTTGATGTAGAAGAGACATGAAGAAGAGGGGACACATGCTTGATGTAGAAGAGACATGGAGAAGAGGGGACACATGTTGATGTAGAAGAGACATGAAGAAGAGGGGAAACATGTTGATGTAGAAGAGAAATGAAGAAGAGGGGGACACATGTTGATGTAGAAGAGACATGAAGAAGAGGGGGACACATGTTGATGTAGAAGAGACATGAAGAAGAGGGGACACATGTTGATGTAGAAGAGACATGAAG